CAGTTAAGCACAGGTATTGGGAATAACTAACTGAACTGGATTCACTTAGCTTGGGTACATAGACTCATTCATGAGCCAGTTATGTACAATGCTCTATCGGCCAGGCCTAGGTCACACACCCACTTCCTGAGCCCCACCAGAGCCACATGGAAAAATAAGGGAGGTATGGTTCAAAGAGAATTCAAGGAATTGTTGGCAAAAGAGGGGATAGGCAGAAAGAACAAACATTCAGTATAGCATTGTATTCATCAACTCACTAGCTGGACAGATAGAAGAGAAAAACCCTTTAAGGAAAAATGAGGATCTACTACAATGATTAAGCCTAAGAGAAATACAAACATTTTACTCCAAATAGGCTCTGCCCTGTACAAACAGATGCTCATTTTTTTAAAAGAGCGTTACAAAATAATAGAATATTTTCAACTTTACACTGACACAGATAATGTTCCCCTTGCGATTTCTGGTGAACTGAATTTCAGTGCTTTTAAGGTAGCTTTGAAATTCACAGTTGACGAAAGCTACTTAGCTAATCATTTTTTTAACGAAGCCAAAAAGCTTCCAGTTATTCTGCTGTTCCCCCTACCACGGCACCAGTCATGGATATTAGGAGTCAGAATATTTCAGAATATTTGGATTGTTGTCACAGCTCATGAATTTTCTGTCTAGCTTAACCAGACAATACATATGGCCCTTAATTTTATCATCTGTCAAATAAGAGATTCATGTTCTATGATTCTGATCTTCTACCTCTCTGTCTTCTGCATCTGCATTTTCATCTTTCATTTCATATTAATGGTTATTTTGTGTAGCATATGGGAGAGGGGTGGAGGGAGGAGATTAATTACATTAGGAAGAATCTGGCCACTGGAGGTGGAGAAAGGCCTGGACAAAAGTAAAGAGAAAGGGAAATGCAGGCAATGTGTGAGAAAAAATTATTAGATTCTTAGTGGCTGGGAACATAGATTTGAAAGGCAAAGCTGGAAAAAGAAAAATGGGACCATGATGTGTTCAGGGCTCTGAATGCTGAGAAATCTGTAATTATCATCTATGTGGAACAGAGCTGTGTTTTAGGAAGATAGTATATAAAATGGATACATAGGGAAACAATATTAGGAGAGTATAGTAACAGACCTTATAAAATGTTGTCAGAGCCTAAGGTAAAAGCAGTGGAGAAAGGATGGCTGAGATAAATGTCTTACATAGAATCAAAAATACCTGGTGACTTGTTGGATTTGAGGATAAAGAAAGTGAAGAAGTTGAAGGTGATTTCAAGTCTTTGAACATATAACAATGTGTTATAATTTAAACCTATAACCTTCAACCTCTGCGGAGTCCTCACTGATGTGTGACCAGCAATTTTTTTTAACTCTTTAGTCGCCTGCCTTTCCTGCACTTCTTATCTTTGGCCCCTTCTCTATTAGCTAAACTTGTCTCGTATTTTATAGAGGAAAAAAAACGAAACACCATTAGACTCAAATTTCTTCAAATTCTACCCTTACCTCCAATATTATGAGACCTTTAATCGTTTTTCTTTCCGCTTGTCTTAGAAATGTTCTTCTCAACGCTAACTGTTTTATCTGTTCTCTTTATTCCATGTCTTGATGTCTCTACGTATCTTGCTCATTCATTTTCTAAAGGAGTTTTCATCAATCCCTTTCCATTGGCTGGAACTTTCCCTAACACTGTGCCAATGAACAAAATCCCAAGACAACCTTAAAACCCCCAGTCTTTCACTCCTCTAGAGTTGGGAGGGGGCAACTGATAGAAAACTTCTCTCAACCCTTCCTCAGTCTCAAACCACCATCCAGTGTCTCTCACACGTTGAATCCCTCACCACCATTCTCCTGGCCAGTGAATTCCTTGATCCTCTTTTCCGTTTCATTACTATGTGGTAGTGCAGTGCCTGAAATATAACAGGTGATGGACGAAGATTGATTGAATTGACTTCTCAACCGTTTCAATTCCCTTGAAAAGTACTATTCTGAAGGTTACTAGTGACCTTCTACTTACCAACCAAAAATAATGACTTATTTTCTGTCCTCATCATACCTGACCTTTGAAATATTTGATACCTTGGTTTTGTTTAAATGTCTCTTCATTTCTTTTCCTCATTTAAATAATTTTTTTTCCATATTTGTACTAGCATATTCCTTTTTATTATTTATTCTTAGGTGTGTCACAGAAAGGTTGAAAGACTTGAGCCTGACAGAGCTCAAAAACAAGCCCAGTTTAGGCATTTCCTAGCCAAGCTGCCCCTACTCCTCGCTTCTTGAAAGTCTAACTTGCTTGACTTTTTATATTTTCTCCTGATTTTCCTCCAGTCACATTATCCATCCTTTCTTAACTAGTAACGTTCTTTAATTCCAATCTTGGGCTTTTTTTTTTCATTTTAACATTTTCAACTGTCACTAAACCTAATCAAATCCTAGATTAAAGTCTCGGCCCAGCACAAAATGGAAATTTATTCAATTGAAGCTTTATCTCTAGTCCTGAACTCAAATGAATTCTAGACCTCTGTTTCCAAATATCTGTTAGTGCTATTAGTGTCTATTAGTGCTTTCCAATACAACATGTCAGGTGTTCCCCAAACTTGTCCCCCACTTCCTAAATTCCCTATATATAAATTAGTAGCACCATCATCCACCCAGTCAGCAAGTTGGAAACCTCAGAATCACCTTAACTTCTCCCTTCCCTTGTCCACCACACCCAGTTTGTCATCAAGCCCTGCGGAGTCCATCTGTGAAAAGTCTGTCAAATTCTCTTACTCCTACTTATCTTAATCAGCCCTGCCTAGAACACTTTTTACCATCTCTTGCCTAGACTTTTTGCAATGGTCTCCTAAATTGCATCCATGTTCCATAATGCCTCTAGAGTTATCTTACTAAAACATAAACTTGAACATGTCTCTCTAAAGCCTGTGACTCCCTATTTCCAACAGCATAAATTCAGTCTAACCATATAGCCTCACCATTTACCACAATCCCCTATACATCCCACACTGCAGCAACTGTGTAAAATTACATATACCATTTCCCTAGTAAACTGTGTACTTTCACATTTCTTTTTCAAATGCTGATCCTTCTGTCTTTCTAGTGGACCCCCACCCTCTCTAAGTCCTAGCAGCCCAGCTCAAATACGTCTTCTATACCCACACAGTACTTCTACCTACATTGTCCTATTTTGTTTCTCAGGCTAGGCTGGCAGATGCTGATGTAATTTACAAGAATGCAGGTTCCATAAAGTGCTAGAGGAAGGAGCCCAAATCCTCCTTTCTCTTAATGAGGGCAACAAAGACTATGAGGTAGAAACAGTGAGTGTAAGCCAAAATTAAAGAGGAATTGTGATGGGATAAGATTCTGATTGGAATATAGAATGTTATTTGTGAGTGCCATGAGGAGCAAGAAAAATGTCAGTTAGGAAAGTTGTTTAGATCTCTGTGCAAAACCTTTTAGGATGTATTCGTGCTCAGAAATGGAAAAGGGGGGTATATTGGAAAGGAAAGGAAAGGCAGTGAGTGTAAATTCCAAAGATCTAAAGAGTGGTTAGATCATATCTTGAAGTTGCTTAAGGATGACGGTAGGCAATAGAAGCAGAAGAACATGAACCAGGTGCTAAAGCTGTAAGGAGATGAAAACTGGAGCCAACAGATAAATTGGTGATTTGGAGAGGGCAGGTGCACATGTTTAAAATAATAAGCAGAGGATGGATAGTAGATCATGAACTGCAGAGGACCCTAGAGAGCAAAGCTATATTCATTCACCAAGTCGAGTAAATGTCTACTGCCATAGGGATCCGCATACTCATAGAAGTGATTGTTATCACTAGTGATACTGGACACTCCGGTAACGGCCACCTGCAGTGCTGAGTTCCCCGTAGGTGGACCAACCAGAGGCACAGACACCTGTGGTCTGTGCTTAAGGCAAAGCAAGGACACCAAACAATGAGGAGAGAGCTTTCAAATAACTCAATATTAAAATCAAAGGAAAACCATAACTTTGTTGTATTTCTTTCTGCTTACTTTATTATTTCATGTTATTCATGTTTAATTATCAGGAAGGAGTTGGGGTGGAGGGAACATTTAGATACAGGCATTATAATCTTTTCACCACTCTTAAGGTCCTATTTTGGCCCTGGCTGTCCTACTCCAAGAAGACAGTAATTTACTGGCTTTTTTCAGAATAAGGCAAAAATATCTCTTCTGGATGTGCAGAAGGATGTAAGCTAGTGAGCTTGTGTGAAAAAAGAATATTTGGATTTAACTTCTCTATTAATATCCACAGTTAAGGGGTTATTTTTAAATATATGTTTTCCAGTTTTCATTTCTTAAATTATCATAGCAATGTCGTATTAATACCTTCTAATCTCTAGAAAAGAGCTTAGTTAGGAGCTTGATTTGAAGGAAAAGAGGGAGTATGTTACCCATATCTGATCCCCACAAATTAGTAGTCTTCAGAGACTTACATTAACAAAATCTTTTGCATTCATTATATTGTTTTCTAGAAGCTAATTAGAAAGGAAAGGGGGAGAAAATGAGGTTTATATATCAAATATTGACTACTGCATGAATATAGTAGCCTGAAACCTGTCTTTAAAAAAAATAATGTATCCCAGAATGCACATAAATTAGAAATTGCATCTGTAAGGGCTACTAATTTGAAAAATTCTGGTTTCTGGTTTTTAGCTGCACAAATATATATCTTTTTAATTACAAAATAAGTGTCATTGTATCAAGCAGTGAGTACAACTGCCCTGAAATCAATATAACTTGAAGCTGTAATTCTATCTAAATTTCTCTTGACTAAAATCCTCTCTTTTTTGTAAATCAAGATAATTCTGCATTTTATTCAGTTTTCTAGCACTCAGACATATATAAATGCCTTTATCCTTTGTGATAAATTTTAAACCTTGACAAAAGTTAGAAAATAGATTCATTTTAGGTCAGTCTCCATACTGCCACATGAATCAAAATATGTATATTTTTTGTCCTGTTCATGTTCCAGATACCATACTCCTCAGCATCTCCTGGGAATTATGTAGTAAGTACATTTGGGTTTGTTTGCTCATAAGAATTGATGTTATGTTCTATTTGGGCAATGAAATAGTTGTCCAGATGTTAAGAAGAGCCCCTGTGTGTTGGCCAAGAAATGAACATCTGATTTGTATTGAGTTGTTTCGTCTGCCAACCTCAGTGTTGATGTTCATTAGTGAAACAGTTATCAATCTGGCCAAAATTGCCCTGAGTACTGTGTTTTACTTCAGCATATGTTTCTGTCAACCACTGCAAGACACTGTCCAATCATGAAGAAAGCCATCCCAGTTATGTAATGATATGCTTGAATTTGCAGTTCTTCAGAATAACCTACACTCCCTCCCCACCCCACTTGCCATACACAAAGTCTAAGAAGACATTAAACTTTCTCCCAATCACAAAGAGAATTAGATAGCAGAATAATGACTAGTAATTTGGGGGAGGAGGGCTAGTTTTATTTTATTTTATTATTATTCTTTTTTTTTGCGGTACGCGGGCCTCTCACTGTTGTGGCCTCTCCCATAGCGGAGCACAGGATCCGGACGCGTAGGCCCAACGGCCATGGCTCACGCGGCACGTGGGATCCTCCCAGACCGGGGCACGAACCCGTGTCCCCTGCATCGGCAGGCGGACTCTCAACTACTGCGCCACCAGGGAAGCCCGGAGGGCTAGTTTTAATTCTTAGAAACCGAGACCACTTACTCTTCTTCTTATCACTTAGTACATGTTAAAAGTTTCCAATTATTTACATTTGTCAAATTAGCAGGTTTTACATGACCTCTTGAACTTGCAAATGACCTTTTAACCATCATCACATTATAATCCTTGCTGTATCTCAAGGCCATCATAAAAGATAATTTGTTTATAATATTTAGAGGGAAATGCCTAACAGAGTAGCAAGGGTAAAACGGTAAAAAGAAAAATCTTTCCTAAAGAACTTTTCAGAGGTGGTGGTTAAGCAGAGTAGGAAAAAAGGAGTACTTAGGAAGAAGATCAACGCGCATTTTACCCTCCATGGAAACAGTGTTCTGTGAGCATAGCGAAAAGCACACGCTGTTTTGGACCTGTGAACTTAGTGCTCAGTATTCCTTTAAGCTATGCAAGCTAAGCAAGTCTAACTTTTTGCACAATCTCTATGAAAGTAAAAAAGTTTGAGTAAGGCTTCCCTGGTGGCGCAGTGGTTGAGAGTCCGCCTGCCGATGCAGGGGACGTGGGTTCGTGCCCCGGTCCAGGAAGATCCCACATGCCGCGGAGCAGCTGGGCCTGTGAGCCATGGCCACTGAGCCTGCGCGTCCGGCGCCTGTGCTCCGCAACAGGAGAGGCCACAACAGGGCAAAAGTTTGAGTAAAACCTATTTTTTCTTAAAGTCAATTAAAAATAAGCTTGATATATATAGTTTTATGAAATTACAGACTTGATTGAAAGTAAATTTAAGCTGTTTAATAAATAGCAATACATATATTATTTGAAATAATTAGTGGGCTATGTCTGTGCACTCCAAACGAAGCAAAAATTTAGCCACTTAATAGTTAATCTGACTACTGTAAGTCTGAACATTCTAAAACTCATTGCCTGAATTATCCATTTTGGTTGCATGAAATAACTGAATTAATTTGAGTCACCTAACATCCATTTCAAACTGATTGTGTACCTACAGCCTTAGAAACCCTCACATCAGTCAGCATTACCTCTCATTTCTAGGTGATGTGATAGCTGAAGGTACAGTGCATCAGAAGTGTTGCAGTTGATGCTGGCAGAAGAAACAGCATCAATGTATTTTTTTAAACATATGAATATCTTTTGATTTTCAGTTGCCTATAAAAACCAGTGATACAAAATGTAAGAAAATTACAGTAAGCTAAATCACAGATACACATGAATGATTTCTATTGTATGGGATTTGTAAAGGCCTTATTAAATGGTTTCTCCTTAACCTCCTTATACCTGATGTCATTAAGCCATGAATCATAAATCAGCGTTACAGGCTCATTGTTTTTGGAAACTTGTCAAAACAATCTCAACATATTTAAGCTAAATTATATTTTGCATAACATTGAAATGAGTGTGCATTCAAAGAAAATAAATTTTGGAGAAAATGTATTTCCTCTGCTGTTTTCAAACTGGATTATTATAAAGTCTAACTTCTGTTTTTCCTTATATTGTTTAATACCATGCCTTATTTTTACTGAAATTTTGTGTAATTATTTAGGGTCCTCCAGGAGGTGGAGGGCCACCAGGAACACCCATCATGCCTAGTCCAGCAGGTATTGTAATCGAACTAGCCACGTGGGCATTTGATTCTTAGAGTAAAATCACAAAATACAGAAATTGTTATGAAAGAAAGTTAGTAGTATTCTTTACCTCATTGGTGGTTTCACAAGTTGAGTAGAGGTAGCAAGTAGGAAGAAATAGTGTTCTTAAGTAACTATTGTCCAGTTACTTTAAGCATTTAGAAAACTCCTGTTGTGTACATAATAGATTTAATCAGAATGAAAACTGTGTTGATCTGTATGAATTGCCCAATAATTTATCTGACTAAAAGTTTGCTTGAGACTGTGGAAAAGATCCAAACCTCACAACTTAAGAAAAATTCTGCATAAGTAACACATGAAATACATGGATCCATTAGGTTTAATACAGCAAATCAGACCCACCATATCTAGCATCTAAGATAGATGTGGACGTGCTCACAATATCATTTATCCTACACGTCTATAGGTATTTATTAGTTAGCTAACCCACTATGTAGTGGGGAAAGTTTTTTAACCTTTTAAACCATAATACTTTAATATTCCTGGAATCATGTAGTTATTTTAAATATCTCTTTCCTTTGAGACTTTAATACAAACTATTAAATGTGTCTTGAGGCCTCTGATGGTAGCACAGCCCTCCTAGAAAGCTCCTGGCAACATGTAGCAAGAGCCATGAAAAAGCTCATACCACGTGACACTATAATCCTACTACTAGAAATGATTGGAGGTACAATCCAAGAATCATGTAGAATGATGCTCATTTGTTATAGCCAGTAGCAAAATAATAGAAACAACCTTCATGCCTAATCCAATTTTAGTGATATTCTTAAATTAATGTTTTATGGACTAAAACGTAGCCATTAAAAGTATTATCAAAGAAATAAGTGTTCATGATTTAATACAATATGATCACAGTGTTATTTTAAAATATATTACCCTGAAATCTGGGACTTCCCTGATGGTCCAGTGGTTAAGACTCCGTGCTTCCACTGTAGAGAGCATGGGTTTGATCCCTGGTTTGGGAACTGAGATCCCGGAAGCCGCACGGCATGGCCAAAAAAACTAAAATATATTACCCTGAAATCTAAAAAGTAGATAACAAAGAAATAGACTAAGACTTTGTCAGTTTTAACTTCTGGGTAATGAAATATGTGGGAAATTTTTATAATTAGAAAAAATTTTTTATTATGTTGCACTGTTAAATTCGTATGTTCTTACGAATTTGTTGAAATCTAAGATACACAGAAGTGTGAAATTAAATATCATTAATCATACCAATCAATATTTTTAAGTTTTGAATCTTTAATTTAGAAAAAGCATAAATTTGATGATTAATTCAAAATTTTACTTTGCCTCACTAACTCTTTGGAATATATCATAAATATTTCATGGATCTCTGTCCTCAGAACATCTTCAGTGAAGTGAAACAAAATTCATTGAAGATAGAAGTATATGAATTGAACATCTTGGCCACATTTGCAATCCTTTTGGTGAAGTTAAGGTTTAATTTATGAAGGTAGCATGTGATTAAATAAATACTTCACTACATACTCAAAGTTTTTGGAGTAACACTAAACTTTTCAGGTGATAAGTAATCTGATCACTTCTTCCTTTCAAGCCAGAAATTGCCACCAGTATATCTTGCTAGCTTTTCTGCCTATTCTTTTATGTACTCATCCTTTATCACAGTCAGTCCTCTAATATGAAGCCAATATCCCCCACTCTCCAAAAAATGGGTGCCAGAATATCTATTGTAAAGTTTTTTTGTATATAAAAATAAATCAGACATTTTCTAAAAAATACCAACCTTATTCACTCAATGTTTTTTCATTTCAGATGCAGTTATATTTGATTGGTCTTAAAAGCAATAAAGTTTTCTTTCTGCATATTTTTAAATATACAGCCCATTTTCCTTTCAAATTAATTGCTAAAATTAGTAAGTAAAACTAGTAAGGCTAATAAAGGTGAAAAACCATTTGAAGGTTTCCTATGTTTAAAAAACAATTCCACCTTTTCTGAAAGATACATTTTTATGGGATAGAGTTTATGCCATGAATTGAATCTAAGTTAGTAGATATTTATTACTTATAGTACACAACATGAGTAAGATATGGTCCCTTTCCTCCTCTCAAAGAAATTATAACCTAGTTTGAAGCAGGAGGGAAAAATAAGACAAAATATTAACTATAATGCAAAGCAGAATTCAGTGGTAGAGGAGCACTCACATACTTTTAAGTATCAGGGGAAAACTTCATGGAAGAGGTAGCACTGGCAATGGGCCTTGAATAGTGAGAGTATAATTTCAGTAAGCAGAGATTGTGTAGAGAAGATGCTCAGAGGAAGAAAGAACAAAAATAAGGTGATGGAAAAGGATGATTATATGCAAGAAAGAACAAGTAGCCTGGGTTGACAGGAGTATAGTGTACATAAGGATGTAAAAATAGTTAAGGCCACAAAAGTAGATTAGGAGCTTACTTAGTATAAACAAACAGGTCAACCAGAGGTGGGCATTTCAACTTTCTCAACAATATGATGTATTAATCTAGAAATAAAAAATAATATTTAGGTTTATGGATCACTGTTTACAAACAAAGTATAAATGGCATCTAACCTACTCTAAAATAATAAATTAATGTCTAATAGTCACAAAACAAGAGGAAAAGTAATTGCCCATTTCTCACTCTGTGGTTATTGCCATGAGGAAGCAAATAAGTTTTATCTTCTGCCTTGAATCAGTACAAAACATTTGAAAAACATCTTTTTCAAAATAGAGGCCTGCAACATTATATTTAAGAGAACTATATAATTGTGGAAAAATAGAAACACATTTTATAATTGATAGTTCCTAAATATAAAAGATTAAGCCTTTCACTCTAGGCTATACATTATAAACACATATACTCAGAGACTTAATTAGGACTAGCTAATAGACATGAAATGTAAAATGTTACATATATTTATGTGGATATACAGTACAGTTATTTTTATTATAATGAATCAAAAATAAAATGAATGAAAAGATTTTTATCAAAAGTTGTACTAGTGGAAGCTGGCTTTTACTTCAAGCAAGAGAATTTTCATTCCAGTTGTATAGTCTCGTTCTAATATCTTTCTGTGGGAACTAAGCCAGGATATTCCACCAGCTTTTACTAATTATTAGCTAAATAAACTATTTTTTAAATTGGTCTATAAGAAGCCTAAGGAAATAATAAGTAAAAAGCTACTAAATCTGAATTTTAAGAGATTTCCGTTACGTGTATACATATCAATTGCTTAGAGAAATCAAAAGAGATCATGTTTTTTAAAGAAGAAAAAATTTACAGTAACTCTTTAGACTTTTAAAGTAATATTCCTTTTGATCTGAATTATTCAAGTGATTATTCCTAATATATTAGGTAGATATTCCTAATTTACAACCTCAGAATGATAATTTTTGGGTCAGAAAATGACTTACAGATATTTGTTTCTGAACATTAGTAATGACTATTTCGAGTGCTGTAGCTATAAATATGCATAAGTGTCCAGATCATCTTTGATTATTACTTTGTGATGACTTGGGCGTAGATTATAATGAAAGATATTAATTCAGTAATATTTTGTTTCAGACTCAACCAACTCTGGAGACAACATGTATACTTTAATGAATGCAGTACCTCCTGGACCTAACAGGCCTAATGTAACTATGCATTTTTTAAAATTTTTGGAATGTATTTGAAGACTCAAACTCTAAGTACATTCCTTTTCCTTGATACTGTTTAAGCTTTATATTTTATTATACAGGATCTTACTGGATATCAAAAAATCAAATTCTATGTTCTGGGTTGGAAAAAAACATAATATATAACATACATAACAAGAGATTTCATATCAATATAATTATGTAAATGTAAAACAGAACTTAATTATAAAATGTTGATATGTAGCCTTATTTTATCTCAAATACCTAATAATTAATATTGACTATTTGAAAGTGACAGTTAATATGTAATCATATGTTCACCTCATTTTACACGTCACTAATTTCTTCAGGTGGTTGTTTTTTTTTTCCTGATAAACTTAAAACTAAATTAGGAAGTTGAATATGCCTGTTTTTCTTTAAATTTTTGAAATCTGGAGTTTAAATATAGAACTGAAGCAGTTCTACAGAAAGAATTTGAGTGTACTTAATAAAGCATAGGTCATGATTTTTCCATGAACGCGTACAGAAAAATGATATCTATAAGACTACATATTAACAAAAAATATAAGAAAATACAGTTAATACATATATATATATGAATAAAAGGTAGCTCAAATTTAAGAAAAATCAAAACACATATAAAGAATTTCCAAAAGTATACCAAAAACTGGGGATGAAATATTATAATTGAGCTTCCTAGCAAAGGGAAACTTTAAATTGTCCAGTATGTTATGGTACTTGAAATATGGCTAGTCCAGACTGAGATGTGCTGCAGGTATGAAACACACCCTGGATTTTGAGGACTTAATATGAAAAGATATATAAAATAGCTCATTAAAATTTTATACTGACGATTTTGATTGATAATTTTGCTTATATAAATAAATAAAATTATTTAAATTAACCACCTGTTTCATTTTACTTTTTAAACATGGCTGCTAATAAATCTAAATTTATTTACGTAGTTCACATTTGAACCTTACATATTATTTCTGTTTAGCAGCAGCACTGCCTTCAGTTACCAGTATTCCCTTTGTATAATCAAATAAATTCTTTTTCAGGAAAAAGAATTTTCTTTCAGTAATGTCTAAAAGGTGTTTTCACAGAGATTTTAAAGAACACTGAATATGATCATGAACAATGTTCATTTTAGAAATGCAGCACAAATGTAGAAAAGCTCTTCATACTGCAATTTCAGATCTTAAAACTTGATATTTGAAAGGGAGGGAATAAGGGAGGAAACCAAGAGCATATGGTACTGAAGACATTTCTGCAGACAGCTAAACTGATATCATCCAAGTGTGTTCCATTCTGGTTCTCTTACTTGTTACAGAGATAAGAGATTCAAGAGAAGCAGAAGCTGAATATGTCACTCTTCCAAATGTCATTCATTTCAGCCAGAGGTAGTCAAAGCAAATGCCTGCTGAGGGCTAGGACTGCAGTATTATGTGCTTCAAGTATAATACCTATAGTCTTAGTGTTGTTTAAAGCGCAGTGGGGGCCGGATAAAAGGACCAAACCAAGGAGGTTCACAGGCTGTTCACAGGCCTCACCGGCACCAGTTTCTCAGCCCAGATCTAAACTATGCTTTTGAAAAAACCTGAAAAACAGCAGTAAGTTCAAAGTTAATTTCTTTGACCTCTCATTAGAGGCATGCATATTCCAAGTTGTTTACTGAAAAAAAAAAACCCAAAAAACACAATCCATCCATGTGTTTTAAAGCAACAAAATTTTAGGCAACAGAATTGGCATTATCCTGTGAAAATGTATAAGCATGTGGTTTGTGTGAGCACGGTGATGGAAAGCTATCTTCTTTCCACACAGAGTCGGTGGTACACAGGGTGTCCACTCACGGCAATCTTCCCCCGAAGCCTACATGATTAGTAATCACCACAGTCCCATCTATACACATACATACACGCAACACATTTAGTATTCTGCACCATACAACATGGAAGAAATGATTTGGGCATAGGAAATTTTAAGAACAAGTGTTTTCAGTAATCTATCTTAACTGTAAACATAAGGTAATTATAGATAGCCTGTCTTCAAACTAAGGTCTGAGTTTCCTTAGAAGTATTCCGGGGAGTTGAGGGAGAGACTAAGCGGGCAGGTCATGGGCTCTCCACCACCAACTCTACCACGGCACATCTCTTTACATCTTTGTTGTACTAGGCTTCTAATGTAAGGTTTCACTTGAAAATGAAATATCACTACTTTAAAAAATGTTAAATATAACTGCTATTCAATGCCTAATTGTGACTGAACTGACATAGTTGAGACTGCCAAGAAGACTTAGCTATATTCAGCTATCCCCAAGGAGCTAAGTGTATTTAACCTGCAAGATGAAATTATTTATCATGTCCATTTGAACAAAGATAGATTGTCTGCTAAGAAAAATGTTAATGTTGGCATATAATGTTCAGTTATTCTTATTAATAAGCCAATACCTTTAGCAGCTTCTTAAGAATCACCTCTGGTTTACAATACCAGAATTTGTCAATAGCATAGAATACTTATCTTCTCATTTGCACTGGAATATATGTGCTTTCTGGTTAAGGATATCTGAAGAAAAATTTGGATATGAATGAGGATTAGCCTGAAGATCTAGAACATAGAGAAGATGGAATGAGGGAAGTAGCAGTCCAGTTAGTGAATCTAGAAAGCTGGGAAAAAATCTAGGAAAATAATCTCCATAATTTGGAAATGAAAATAAGTTATAGAAGTGTCTTACAGTGTTACAGATAGGTATTGTGACATTGAGATGAACAATTGTTTTCAATGTGATCACAGTCATTTTCTCCATTTTTTAAATAGTTTCCAATGGGCCCTGGGTCAGATGGTCCCATGGGTGGATTAGGAGGAATGGAGTCACATCACATGAATGGCTCTTTAGGTAAGGATATTAAATCTGATGTTCAGAAATGAATTCAAAACAAAACCTTAATTCTACATAGTGAATATCATGATTTGCAAAGTTCTTCTTTTTATAGGAACTCATTTTGAAATGCTTCAGCTTTTACCTACAACTGATAGTTTAATCCATAGGATATTCGCTATGATGGCTAGAGATTATTTGGAAAATCAGATATGTGAGAATTGTTCTAACCTAGCTCATATTCACAGGTATTTACTTTAACTTATCAAAATCTGAGTGTTTATGATGAAAGGAGACACTGCTGCTTTGGGCACCTAGAGGACCATGGTATCCTCACAGTGGGTTCCTTTGTCTCCAGAGGTCTGTAGACACAGTCTCAGAGGAACTTCAGTCCTCTGCAAGAATTTGATTTTGTTTTTGCATGTTAATGTTTGTCTCTTTTTAAAAAGTAAAATTAGTAATCATATTCTGGATAATCTGAATGATTCTCTTAAGAGAGAACACTGCCCACATTGTCTGTGTTCGTGATAAAGCTGATTTCAAGTAGTGCAAATAATGGTTGTAAAAAGACTTCATAAATGATGTCTTCTTACCAAATGAAGCCAAATATCTGCAAGGTGAACAAAAAGTTTCACAGCAGTGAGAAACAGAGACAAGTGGTACAAAATTGACCTGGTCACACAGCATACTGTATATGTAGGCAGGCCAAAGGCAAAACCAAAACAAGGGAAAAAAGACATTTATTTTATGTTTGTATGTTTATCATCATCATATATCATAAACTACTTTAAAAGTTGACAGTGGGGTTGGAGGTTTGTGATAATTTTTTTCTTTGAAAAAGAACCATCTTTTACTTAAGTTGGAGAAACTATGCCATGAGTAACTCAGGTTATACACGGATTTCACAGCCCCACCCTAGCTCAGGAAATGCCATCCTCTGATACTTCGAAAAGCTATGTGACTTCAATAATCAAGAAATTATTTACAACACTTTGATAGACTTTTTTTTTATAGACTTTTGTGCTTTTAAGGATCCATGCTTGTTTTGCCTCCTTTTCAAAATGTTAATTTGCACTGTCCAGTTGTGGTAGTTACTAGTCATGTGTGACTACTTAATTCTAAATCAAATTAAATGTAAAATTCAGTTCTTCAGTTGCACTGCCACATATCAAGTGCATATAGTCACATGAGCTAATGGCTATCGTAACAGGCAGCACAAGGAAACATTTCCAGCATCACACAAAGTTCTACTGGGGATAGCACCATTCTAGAATTTTACTTTCTAATTTATTGCAAAATAATTTACTTTCCAATCTTTTAATTTATAAAATCATTCACAAAAAGATGGCATTTGGTCATAGTGAGAAGATTCTTAGTTATATTACTCACTAGAACAGAATTTGCAAAATAGTTTCACATATACTTCTCATCTATAATGAATATTGTTGCATATATTTATAGATACATAATTGCATATATACATTCAGTATTTAACATTATGCCTATTTATAAACTAATGCTAATAAGCCTTTACTTTATTTGTGACTGTCTGTTGAATGCTGTACTATTAAAATATTATAATATTTTTATGCCAGGAAAATTATTTAAATAGTTAAAAATAAAGCTAAAATTGTGGCGAGGATCTGATTATTTTTCTTTGTTACCTAAGTTATGATTCCGTTTCTTAAGTAAGAAATTAGTATTGATTGTCCATTTCTCCTAAGAATTAAAATAAAACCACAATGTTACATTTTGAAGACATTTTTACTTTTGATGGACTGCCATGAATATTTGTTGCTGCCAAAATTTTCTTAAAAATTTTATACTTTGATTTTGGTTATTATAGTAAAACATGGTTCAGAATCTTGTCAGGTATTGTTGCAAATGCCTGTTTTGTACTTTAACAGATGTAGAGAAGCATCATTTCAGAAAATAGAGATCTCTCTCTCTCTTGCTCTCTATTTACATATCTATAAATATATATATACACATGTGTATTAGTGTACACATTTTAAAATTTTGAATTGAGTAGGATATATATGTCTACTGTTTCACTTTCAGGAATTTATGATAGCAATAGTTTTTTATTCTGCCATTACCAAAAAAAGTAGATGATTGGGAAGGAAAGGTACAACTCTTCCTTGCATTTGTCATCAGATGATACTTAACTTACCACACAGTATAAGAGAAAAGTAATTTTTTGAGATTCAAAAGTCCAGGAGATATACACTGCAAAATACATACAGTGTACCGCATTACCACATTAGTTTATTTTAAAGGAGTATTTAATTTACAGATAGAATCATTACCTAATAAAGGCTTTCTTTCCATATTTTGTTTTAGGCTCAGGAGATATGGACAGTATTTCCAAGGTGAGTATTATGTATTGTGTTGTTTTTTATCTGTGTTTTATTCCACACAGAACTCTTACTAAGATTGAGAATAACATTATGAATTTTGTTCTTAAAGAGTTTGAAAGTAGAAGGCCAGATATAATTAAGTAGAAGTTTAAAATATTAATGCATATAATCTGTGGGAAAGGGTAAAATTAGTCTTTTAAGAATATTTCAAAGCATGCTAGCATTCATTTACAGGATGTGATATACATGATTAATTGATACCCAAGCAAATAATAATCAGTTTAATCACATTATGATGTTACGCATTTGTAAAGCAAACTGACATACTTTAGATAATCTTTTGAAAATGTAAAGAAATCTAGAGCAACACGAAAAGAGGTAAATTTGAAAAAGTGGTTATTATATGTTGTAAGGGCATTGCATTTATACATCTCATTTGTATTCCAAACTCTTATCAGGCAATGCTGATGTCCTCAATCATTATTATAGTTCCACAGAATAGAGTAAGAAAGTAATTAGAGGAAAATTATATTAATAGAAGTAGGAAAGTGACCCTTCCAATAGCACATGTCTCTGTTTTTCCTCTGTCAGTCGTCTGAGTTTCTAAAATTAATCCTTTGGTAAGATGCCGTATATTTTTTGAAGAATACCTAAATACTTTTTAGGTCATGATGAATTTTAAAATACTTCTCTGTGGGTCAAATGTATATTTAGAATGGCTGATAAGAACAAATTATTAACTACCACTAGAATGACTCTCTCAGAAGTCTTCTTTATATCAATAAATACAGAAATTCATTAAAGGATGACTTCATTTTTAATTCCACTTTGAATTTATATTCATGTATAATAAAGTAAAATTCCTGATGCCAAGAAAAATAAAATGAAGTTGAGCTGTAGAAACTTATAAATTAAGACTTCAAGCTAAAAAAAAAAAAGAGAGAGCGTTTAATTGGCATTCTGACATTGTATCTGCATCGCTTGGCTGCCTGGCCTAGGACCTTCATCATGCACTTTGGATGTCTGTGTTTAGAAACAATCAGGAAGATCTTTTTCTTTTCTAAAAATAGATATATACAAACGGCACCATCTTACCTCTGTGAGAAATAGTATTAGGTAAGCCTTCAAAAACCTTGTTTTCAAAATAAGATTCATTGTATAATACCGTTAGAGCCTTCTTTCTGGGAAGCACCTTTACAAACCAGATGACTGTGATTGTATTGGCTGTCTTAGGTATCTAACAATTGATGTTGGCTGAATTGTGCTTTGTGGTCACAGTAAAATGTCTGAAGTTGTATTTGAGAAACATATTCTAATGTCTAAAGATAATTCTTCATTACACAAAGGCGGGAACATCCAGATTACTTAAGGCCGTCTTCGTAAAGTTTCCACTGACATAACCTTGTACACTACATAGATGTAAATGAAATTCTATATGGGAATGTACTTTGTAATTTATAAAGCACTTAAAAAAATTTTAAGAGCCATAATGACAAATGAAATACCATCTTCTAATCTGCCCTCATATCAGATCTATTGCTATTCCTTCTATGCTTATTTTCCCATTCCTATATACCCAGAAGCAAGTTTTTCCACCACACTGTGCCTGCTGCTGATAACATTCTCTTGCCTAGTGATTACTGTTTATTCTTTAAGCATTAATTGACCACCCATTGTGTACTTTTATGTATTGAGTATTGCCTTGTGCACTATGGGGAAATACAAAAGACTTCTTTAAATACAAACATAATCTTTGCCCTCAAATGGTTTGTACTTCGGCAGGAATTCCTTCATTCAGTAAACATTAATGTGCCAAGGCATTATACTGGGCTATGAAATTCCAAAGACAAAAAAGATATGGTCTCTGCCCTCAAGAAGCTCAGTATAACTAAGGAGACCAAACAAATACAATAGGGGAAAACTTTACAAAGGAAAAGTTCAAGTACATTTCAATTGACATAAGAATTATGCCCAAGGGAATTCCCCGGCAGTCCAGTGGTTAAGACTCTGCGCTTCTACTGCAAGGGGTACGGGTTCGATCCCTAGTCAGGGAAATAAGATCCTCCTGCATGCTGCGTGTGGCAGCCAAAATAAATAAGTAAAAATAAAGATAAATAAATAAATACGAAAAAAAGAATTATGCCCGAGTAATAAACTTGCCACTTAACAATGTACTAGAAATGACTGGTTGCATCCACCTTCAAATGGGCTCCTAAGCATCTCATTTGTGCCCTGCCCCCACTCCTCGTTCCTTGGCTCCAGGCTCTAACCAGGCTGTCTGGGTGATGGCACCACTATTGTCTGTCCCATCTCCACTTGTCTGTCACTTTATCTCTAATCAGCAGCATCAAACGTATTATACACCCCGCTCCCAATTATTTTTTCCCTGCGTTTTTCGACTCACAGCTGAATTTTTCAGCCTTTTACTCCAAGCTATGCAAGTTGTTACTAACTTCGTTTTCCCCACCTTCTTCCTTTTCCACCACATGTCCGGCCATCTCAAGAAGCTCTCTTCTCCCTTTTCTCTTATTTCCTGGGCTCATTCCTTTTCTTCCTATTCTTTTTCTAGTCATTCTTGTTTGTGAATCAGAAGATGATCTTAACCACTTCTGCTTAGCAATTGTGTTCAAAATTGCTCTTGGGTCTCTAGCTGCATCTTCCTAATTCTCCAGTTAAACCTGTATTTTGTCAAGCATCAGTATTACATTTTTTAAATTTCTTACTCCATTTTAAGAAGTTGTTTGACCAACCTACGCCCTTTTTGTGCATTATATTCTTGCCTTGTTGATGAAATCTACTGGAGACACTGCACACAAACATAGCTACAGTTAAATGCAGCATACACACAGTTCATTGCCACCCACCGTCATAACCTACTCTGGGTGTTCGGAACCACTGTCTTAGCTGTTCCTCAGATACCAATACTGAGTATATCTTTAGCTATATCTTCATCATGTCACCCAGGGACCATGGACAGCACAATTTCCTTAAGACTCCTCATTGAGCAACTTTTGTTGTTTTCACAATATTTTGCAGAGATTACCTCAGATTTTTTAAAGATGTTCTATCATTTCATGATTTTCAAATACACCCAGTGAGCTAGATAGGAACAGGTTTCAGAGGTCTGATACTAGCTCAGTTTTGTGTGTTGAATGTGTCCTTTTAATCTGCCTCTCAATGTTCTCATATACACCACCACCACTGCCCCCTAAAAAAGTTTAATGCTGAGCCACCATGCTATGAAAAGATTGCATGGAAAACAGAAACACCATGAAGTGTTTTATACGTATTTAAATATTATTGTAATATTACTTTCAAACTTCAGATTTTTTTTTTTTTTTTTTGCGGTACACGGGCCTCTTACTGTTGTGGCCTCTCCGTTGCGGAGCACAGGCTCCGGACGTGCAGGCCCAGCGGCCATGGCTCACGGGCCTAGCCGCTCCGTGGCACGTGGGATCTTCCCAGACCGGGGCACGAACCCGTGTCCCCTGCATCGGCAGGCGGACTCTCAACCACTGCGCTACCAGGGAAGCCCGACTTCAGATATTTTTATATCAACACTTTGAGTCAGGAATCAATTTGAAAGTAGCCAGACTTTCAGAATTGCAAATCAAGAAATGATATCACTTCGATGTGGAGTTTAAAAAAGGATGAACTTATCTACAAAACAAAAATAGAGTTACAGATGTGGAAAACAAACTTATAGTTACCTGTGGTAAGGGGCAGGGGATAAATTGGGAGATTGGGATCGACATATACACACTACTATATATAAAAGAGACAACTAATAAGGACCTACTGTATCACATAGGGAACTCTACTCAATACTCTATAATGGCCCATATGGGAAAAGAATCTAAAAAAGAGTAGATATATGTACATGTATAACTCATACACTTTGCTATACACCTGAAACTAACACAACATTGTAAATCAACTATACTCCAATAAAACTCTTTTTAAAAAATTAAAAAAGAAATGACACATGGCAAAAGTGCAGCAGAGTCTGGGAGCACCCCAGTTTAGTCAGAGATATGCTGCTCCTCTCAGGGCACCTCACGTACTTAAGGCTAGGAGTGTGAATATTACGCAAGGATGGACAGGGCTCTTTTCATATATCTGTTTGAATATGTAAAAGTATGCAGCTTCCAAATACATGCTCAAATACCCCTGTATAGGTATGTTAGCTTATTTTTTATTCCAAGATTGCCGGTTTCTCCATTATGTACGAAATGACAAATCTGCCTTCACCAAAGACTTATAGATTTTAGATAAATCTTATAGTGTTTTTATAAATTTGCCCTTTTTTGAGCTAAGTAAGCATTATCATTCCTGC